CGGGCCTGGTGCGGCTCGCAGCGCCCCCCGCCGCCCTCGGGGGGGGGGGCTTCCCAGTCGTCTGCCGGCTGCCAGGCTGGCCTCTGCAAGAGGAAAAGGGGAATTTTACACCGCTCGGGGCCGTCTCCCCTGTCTCATGGGCATGGGAGAGCCGAGCCAGCGCGGCTGCACAGAACCAGCTCTGGGAAGCTGAGTGTGGGGGTCGGACAGCTTGCAGAGCGGACAGCTCTTAGAATCTCGTGAGACAACCGTCATTAACTGCCAGAAGCCAGGCTCCTTTTCGCAAAGAATTGGGGCTAAAATAATTTCATTAAGCTTGAGCCCCTGGGGTTGAGCACGAAGGACCAACACCTTATTGAAGATTATGCTAAGAGTGGATTTCATCTGGTAAAACCCTTCCAGAAAGTCCCTTGACTGATGTTATTTTCGGAGTATTTGTTTTCTGATGAGCAATGATGAGAGGATGCTGGTAGTTCTGTCGTGTGAATAGTCTGAGAACTTCTGTCTTATTCAAATGATCTCAAATTTAGTGCCTCAAGACTGACATTTCTATTTTATGCCCAGTAGTTATTTAACTTATCTCAAGAAATAAGTATCTCATTTCTTGTAGTTTTTCTGTTGGTAGCGCCGTGCTTCACTCGTCCCAGTGCTGTTGTGCAGCATGTGCATGTGATTCCTCACGTCCAGTTGCCAAGGTAGCAGAGACAAAAGCAAATCAGATGAACTTTGGAGCAGGGTTTAGGGATCCTTCGGAACAAAAGGTCTAAGGGAAGCACAGAGTTTTCTTGAGAACACAATTGATCACTCTAGCCAAAAGCAATGTGGGAATTTGGGTTTAGGGGTTTTCTCTTACTTAAAAACCACCCATTTCCTGCAAATTTAGAGGTGATTGTGATGTTGTAAACATGTTGAGCAGTGCGACAGCCTTCCTGTCAAACTAAGCTTTATTTATCTAAGCTTTATTTATTAACTCTGTTTTTTTTTTTTCCCCTCTTCTAATAAAAGGGCAGTAAACATTAGCGATTGGAATTGTCAGAGCCTTAGTCATAATTGAACCTTTTGGAGTCTTCCTGCCTGGGGAAAGTGGAGGACAGTCTTGACTCTATATTTCTTTTGGATGTAGTCAATACATTCATACTCATTATTCATATTTTGAACTTATGAGCATCCTGGTATTACCACAATATAAATTTTGATGCTTAAAAAGAACATTAAAGCAGAATAATAATAATAATAAATATCAGCCTCTGAATCAAATGTCTCTTATGTGGCTTTTTGATGTGACATTTTTCATGTTTACTGTTTCCTCTGTAAGAGTGTCTTGTCTCTATTCAGTCAGCTGTCAGTTTCTGGGTGCAGATACTTGACAGTACATCTGAGCGGAGAGCAGTATGCAGTGGTGCTCATTCTTAGCGTAAAGAGTTTTGAGACTGGCTGATTTCTCAGGAGCCATGAGCAACACTCCTCGGTCTTTTAATAGCTGTAAGGATTTTTATGGAAAATCCTCTGAAAGTGGTTTCTCCCAAGTTTGCTTCTTTGCTTAATGCTTCCATTTATGTAGTTCACCTTTCCTCTGGCTTCACAGGAAACCATTTTCATAGGATGGAGTTAGAGCACCTGAAGAGGCTGCGTCAGGCCAACCAGGACCTTCTACAAAGGCTCCAGATGAAGCAGGAAGAGATCAGAAAAAGACTTCCCAGCAAGCCGCTCTTTCCAGCATCTCTTCATAATAGAACAGCTACTGAGAGATCTGTCCCCTTGCCCAAGAGAGGGGTATGTGTTGTGTCTGTACTATCTAGAAGTGCTGGGAAGCAAACGGACATTGTCTGGTAGGCAGCAGCTCTGCCTATGGAATGGTGAAGTAAAGGAGACGCATGGACGTAGAGGAGCTGGTAGAAAGTGAAATGTGGAATATGGAGTCTGTTAGAAAAGTAGCTGGTCTTTGCTTATTGTTTATACTGTTGTCTCCAATACATTCTCCTTGCAAAGGTTTCAGAGATCAGTTCCAGCTGAAGAAATGTAGGTTTCTTAATCTAAGATATGCATGAACATTGTGGAACATAGTCCTTTTATTTCTTCTAAGAACAAAGGCTGAAAGTTTAGTTCCTCAACTTGGGAAAAGCTGTATTTAGCTGGAAGTGGATCCCTTTCTTATCTTCTTTTCCCAACAGTTAATGTCTCATGAATGATACAAGGATTTTGCTTTTTTCCTCACAGGAATTTAAAGGGGTAAGCAGACTAGAATGAGAGGTTGATATTCTCTTACTGAGTGAAATGTCCTAATGCTGTGTGGTATGAGAGTCTCTGTCTTTACAGAAGGAAAATCAGGTCGATGCTGTGAAGTCTACAGCTGATCCTGCAACGTTGGTGTCTCTGGAACCTAGAGCTTACACAGCCAGGGCAGCCCTCTGTTCATCTCTTAAACACACCAGCAGTGACAAAGGAGTACAGCAACAACAAGCAAAGATGCAGGAAGCAGTAGGTTTGGATTCCACCTTTCCTGGGAAAGAGAAGAATGTTATGCCAGTGTCTGCAGTTATTACGTGTGGCAGGGAATCCTCCAGAGTGGATAGGGATGGCTGTGCTCAAGGAAGTCCAGAGGAAGAAGCCTTCCTTCTGGGACATGGAGAGAACAGAACTCTGCTACATGGTTTCCATGAGAAAAAACAGCCTAAGGATCATTTGGAGCCATCACTAAGCAGAACACAAAGTGAACAGACCAGCAAGCAGCATGTCATCATTAGAGAGCCCATAATCCATAAATCAGTCTTGCTGACATCTCCGTCCAAAGAGTTGAAGGTAAATGGTGAAACCAATTCTTTGCTTATTTTCATAATTTAATAGAAGGATGGGGAGAAGGGGTCAGGAAAACATTACTTGCCCTGTTCCCACTATGTAAATTGGAGGTTGGGCTGAGAACTGTTCCCAGCCTTCACAGCCAGGGGCTGTTGGCAGTTTCTTCAGGCCCTGCGTTCCTTAGCTCTTGAACCAAAGACCAGAAAGCTGTAGCACTTCACTGTAAGACTCCTTGTCATTTGCCTGTGTGATTCATACACTCGGGGAGAACAGCCCGGTGCAGTGCTGCTGCTGCTGCATAGATTGTTTCCTTAAGCGTGAAGGGCAGGCTATTGCTGTGATCATCTTCTAGGGCAGCACAGCTGGCCTGATGTTTGGGGTTGTGTGATGCAGGGAAGTCAGCATTTTCTTTAAACCTCTGAAAAATACCACCTTATCCTGGGCACATCCCCTGCTTTCTCTTACTGTTTTAGGAATTGAGAAGTCGAAGTGTTGGTGAGCAAATTGCTGGTAGAGGCATAGGTAGAATCCGGCCTCAGCTAACCCACAGCTGTGCCATTTGAACAGCTGCCAGTTGTTTCCTCAGCTCTACCATTGAATGTCCTGCTGGATGAATAGGAAGTCTTTATGAATTGTTTTCTTCCCAGAAGCAGGATGGTCATGTGGCGTTTCAGTCTGGCCCTGAAGAATGTACCATACCTGTGAGCAGCTGGTCCGTGCGTCCTTTCCTGGGCTATGACTGGATTGCAGGTGAATCCTAAACCCGAAGCACAGCCCTCAGCGTGAAGTGGTAATGTGAAGAGTCACAACACAATTTACAACCCCTTTAAATTGAGGTGTGACGGAACTGCAGACCTAGAGCCCCCGTAGCAGGTCTCAGCAGAGGAGCTGCAGTTTTGTCAGAAACTGTTCCCTGTCCAGGCCAGAGGTGACCTCTGCTTCCCTGGAATGCTGAAGTGGCAGTGGTGTGGGAAGCCAGGCAGCAAGTGGCAAAACTGAGTGGGGTCAGAGAGAGATACCAAGTAACCAAAATGAATAAATGCAATAAGGGAGCTAAACCACACTGTAAATCTCTGACTTGACATGTTCTTGTCATTATCCATTTTGGTGCTTCACACCTGTGGTTGGTTTGACTGTTCTGCATGAGGCTTGCTTGGTGCTTTCCCGAATTTGGTAAGTCCTTGAACTTTTTTCTCTTTCCTTGGTGTTCTCAGGGCTCCTAGATACAAAGTCTTCAATAGCAGAAGAATCTGACGAATACTTTGCTGAGCTGCATGAGTTCAGACAGGCCAATAAGGAAGCGTGTATTGATGAGCAGCACCTGGAGTAAGTGGGTATGGGGGAAGGGCTGAAGCAGCAAGGTATCTCTTTAGAGTAATGAGAAGTTTAGCCTGATTGCAGTGGGGAAATTGTAAGGCTGGCTTTGTAGGCCTTTATTTACCTCCCAATCACAAATGTATGCTTGGAAAAGCTGTTCAGAGGGTCTGTGCCCCTGTCACTAACTGATTTGTTTCATGTTTGTTTAGGCCCAAGGCTCTGGATTACATAGTTCCTGAACAAGAACCAGATTTGCTAAACAGTTCCCATAAGTGTAAGATCAGATTTCTTCTTAATCCAATTCCTGTGAACAAACAACTGAGCAGTCTTTGGCTGTTGTTCTGAGAGAGCCAGACAAGGAAGAATGTGTTGGTTTTAGCTGCAGCTTCTAAACCAGATTTAACTTCCTACTCCAAAGACACTTGAGTCTTCTAGGAATCCTCTGTCAGTCAATGTCATCTTACTTTGTCAGGGTTTCTTGTAATTGGCTAATGTTCTCTATTTAAGTTGAGGTTGAAGTTTTGGTTTTGCTTTTTAGGAACTTATTTGGGTACAGGAAATGTGAAAGATACTTCAGGAAAAGCAGCTCTTTCTATAGAATGCGTGTGTGGCACTGCGGTAGAACACAGCTTTGTTGACTGGGTTGAGGAACCTTCTGACAAACTAGCAATACCATGATGGTTTGTTACTCTGTGACAGGTGTTTACTGTTATCGATTAAACCAGCGCCTCTTCACTGTCCCTGTGGATTCAGAATCTGTCTGCCTTGTGTGTAAGATCCCACGTCCTCACCAGCCCCCAGAGATACTGGAAGAGCCAGCCTATGTCAGGTAGATAAGAGTTATTGCTTTGTAATAATGCATAACTCATGGAAACAGTAGGGAAGAAAAAGCTGATCATATGAGGGAGAAAACTGCATCAGAATAGCTCTGTAGAAGGTTGTTGTTCTTAGGGCAGAGATACCTCTTGCTTAAAAACTCCCTACTGATCTTTTCTGTAAGCAAAACCAGTTTTGAAGTCAGTGAGAAATGCGTGTTCTATCTGAATTTGGCCAAGAATCTGAATGTACATGGTAAGTCTAATGCCCTAATCCAGAACTGTTTTGCTTGGCTCACTTTGGGATCAGGCCCTTGGATTCTGAGTGGGAAGACATGCAAATTTCTGGTGCCTTGTCAAAGGTGTAGGTGATTACTTCTGTTGTGTGGTTGCAGGGTCAGCATTCCCAGGTCTACCCTTATGCCTGCCTACAAATACAAAGCCCATCGCAGGAGGAGCTTCGAACCGGCAGATGACCTGGCATTACCTTCGGTAAGTTGCTGGTCTCCTGCTGATACTGAGGGCACAGCCCAGGCTGGGCCTTGTTTTCAGCACAAGAAAGAAAGAGAAATTGGGACTCATGCCCCTGGCAGGGTTTCCTTTAAAATTTCTGATTTGTGTCACTGAGATAACAAGAAAAACCACTGGTGTGTGCTTCTGAGTTCATACCTTTGTGTAACTGGCATAAAGTGTATGACGTATCTCCACATGCTATACACTGGGAAAAAGAAAGTGGCATATAGAGCTGTATACTTGTGGGGCATAGTTCAGCTGCCTTATTTCAGGTATTGAACTTTCAACGTGATGAACCATACCTAAGAGCGCACGTATTTCTTTCCACAGATGTTAGGGAGTCTAAAAGACAAGCTTCTGTGAAGTGTTCACAGTGTATAGGAGCCAGGCAGAATCAATAGGGGCAAGATTGGATTTAAAACTGGTTTTGTAGAGTTGGTCCTGTATTCCAGCCACTAGACAATGCTGCAGGATTATTACTAATTGGACCTAGTCCTGGCCTAGAGATTTTCCAGGAAGAGGTAGGAAGAAACCTGGTTTTGTGGTCTAGAGAACTGGATGAGTCAGTTGAGGTGGGTTCAGAGAGGTCGGGTGCTTGAGTTCACAAATCAAGAAGATTGGTTCAGAAATAATTAGCCGGTGGTGGAAGAGGGGATAGCTATGCAGTTTTGCAGTTTTGCTTTGTTAGAGATTTCTTCTCTTTCCCGTTAGTCGTATAAAACTCTACAAAAATTAATTAATTACCTGGTAAAACCTCCCTGTGCAGAAGTTACTATTTATAACTAACAAGCCTATCTCTTTTTCACAGCATTGCCTGGCTGGTTGGGAAAGTATCATCCCTTCCAGCAACCCCACGCTCAGCAGTTTGGATCTGCGAGCTTCACTGGAAGAGAAGCTGTCTCACCATCCTCACCTGGGAAGAGTTCCTGGAGGTGCTGTGAAATGCACCGATGGGAATGGCAGTCCTCCCTCACTGCAGGGTATGATAATCATCGATGCCTGAGCAAGTGAAAGCGCCTGGAAGATTATCTCCTTATCTCCACAGGGAAACATTTTCCTTCTGCTGCTGTGTCAACTAGTGTGCACAGACACAAAAAAGGAAATGGAGCTGGATAACAGGCAAAAGCCTCTTCAGCTCACTAATCTTCATCAAAACAGGAAAAGTCACTGACGTTCTTTGATTAATATCCTCTTCTTTTGGATTCCAGAACTCGGTGTCCAAAGTGTCAGGAGGAACCAGAACTGACCAGCTTCTGAACCTGACCCACTTGACACGCTTCAGATTTAGCAGTGCTTCTCAGCAGAGAGAGCAAACCAGACCTGGACACTACAGAGCAGCTCAAAATCTGACTGCCTCAACTCTGTGAACTATTGACTTGATTGCTTTGGGGAAGGGATGGGCGCAGGGTGTGGAAAGAACTCTTATTTGGATAAAAATAAATATTTGAACAGATTTTTCCTAGTTTTTGTAGTTGTGTGCATACGTGACCAACCAATACACATGTGAGAGTTTTTACATTCAACTATGTTTTTTCACTTTTCTTTTTTGCTTTTTGTAGCCGCTTCTAAGCAGATGCATGAGCTTCCCCACGTAGGGCTGTGATGTGTACAGGATGACTAACTAGTACTGTTACCACTAGGACAGTTGTAGCAACAATCTCTTGCTGAGTCTGCCACCTCAACTAAATAATGAGAAGTGTAATGTCAACTCTGAATGCCAGGGTGAGGAACTGGCCTGTGAATGGCCTGGTTCAGTGGAATGCATACAAATATGTTCATTTCCAGATGTTTGAAACAACACATAATTTGCTAGTGCCTTAAACCTGAGTTACTCAATATTTCAGTTTAAAAAAGTCCAGTTTATTGTCAATGCAGTGTCTGTAGCTGTAGGGTGCATTACATTCGAATAATTCTGAATGTGAAAAATAATGTTAAAAAGAGATTTTATTCAGCAAAAAGCTAGATAATGCCTTAAAATGTTTGCAAATTATGCTTGCCTCTGCTTTTCTAAGTTTTTTGGAGATAAACCAAAAAACATTTTTGAGTTTTAAAATTGCACCAGAGCAAAATACATAGTGTGATTTGTTTGAACTTTATAGACTGACCTTACTTTCCTTGCCTAAAACCAATAAACCGATGTTTTATTTTACCTTGAATAAGCCAGGAACAGCAATTTCTTCAGACTTATTTCTGGGAACTACCTTGACAGAAGGAATTGGGTTTACACCGGTGACATTTGCAGCTTCTTGGTATTCACTGTTATTTATATATCAAATACATTATTTATTAAATCAAATGTATGAATAGACTATTTTAAGCAAGGAAAGGAATAGTGCAAGTTTATGAAATCTTAATGTTAAGACTTAGAATGGAAAATGAAAAGCATGACTGAGCAGTTCAGCTTTGCACGTGTTCTGCACGTGTAGGGTAAAGTGAATGGAAGTGGTCACATTATTTCCATTATTGAAAATACTGATTTTAAAAGAAATTAATCCAGTGAATATAAAATACTAGCTGCCAAATGTTATACTAAATAGGGCAAATTCAAGGTTTTTACTACCTTGCCTTCAAACCCAAAACATTAGATGTGATAAACCTCTTATTAATTTATCCAGAAATAAAGTACAGCAAGTCTATTCCATTTTAAAAATAGAGAAAATGAAGCACTGTGAGATCAGGTAACTTACGTGAGATCTGTCTGGTGAATGCAGGACAGAACCGATGCTGAACTCATAAAATGTCTTCCGATAGCTAGGAATACTTTCAATATTTTACACTTGTGAAAGTATTGAAAGTGTGATTATGACTCTTCCTCCACTAGAAACAGGTGAAGGAAATCGGTGACACTGCACCTGCTTACCCAAGGTAACCTCAGTGTGTCTCTTTTTATGTTGATTTTGGCCTGTTTTATGCCACCCTCGTTTGCAAGCTGAAACAGACTGAAAATGGTACCTGTTTACAGAACTCTCTTTTTTTCTTCATCTCCCTCCATATCTCTCCATTGCATGGTTAAGACTTACAATGCCAGATCTTGGTCAGGGTGGCAGATCTTTAGAAAAGATTCTTTTCCCCATGCACTTCAGGCTAGTTTTAACTCTCCCTTTGTACCCTCCTCTTGTGTTCTCACATCTCCTTTCAGCTGGAATGTCTCACAAATGCTCAGTCCCAAAATACTATTTAAATACTCTTTTTTTTTTTTTAATTATCTGAGTCATCCCATGTGCCCTTTTTTGATAGTTAAAAAAATATCACATTAGGAGAGCTGATTTCAATTTCCATGTTAAAATATTGGCACATTAGTTCACTTTCTTGTCTGCACTGGTGTAAGGAATTGTTTCCTTTGCTTCTTATTTACTTTTTCAAAGCAGAAAATCTGATTTATTAAGAGAATGACCTGATCATTTTATGTTGGTTTTATAGTTATGTCTCTATATCAGTGCAGACTAAGCTTATATCATAATCCTTTTTGCATAAGGAAACTAATCAGGGTACTCAAGTTTTCCAGCAGCAGTTAAGCAGACTGTTTTGAAATTTCCACTCTGAGTAGAGCCCAGGTCAGTTTGTAATTGATAATATACAGAAAGAGATTTGTCTGCTGGGCCAATTTGGTCTTCTCTTTCATAATTGAAATTATCAAAGGTTTTGCAATTGGAGCTTGATTAATATTGTTGATACGTGATCCAGAATTTGATCTAGAACCCTTTGTTTCTAGCTGCACTGTTTCTCTGGAAGTGAGACAAGAAGTCTGAAAGTGAGTAAACCTGTATTTTTTTGATTAGGACACCTGGCCATGGATGTGCATGGAGGCCTTGTCTTCTAGTAAGGAGGTGATTCACATATTGTCAAGCTTCTGATCATAATCTCATTTCAAGGCAGAGTTACCAAAAAGATGCTCTAATTTCACATGACCTGCAGCTGAAGCAAACGTGTGTACCCCTTTCATCTGTTTCCTCACCATCACTCTGCTGAGGTCTGTGAGGCTCTGTGCTGAGCACTGTGGCTGCTCACTGTGTTCAAGATGGCAAAGTTACAAATCCTGGATAGATTAATGTAAGGATGGTTTAATGTAAGCAGTAATGTAAGGAATAACAACAGAAAAGTCATTTCTAGAAAGTGAGGTCATGCTTAATGAGAAACAGATTTTTTACTTTTGGTACTGAGCACGAGGCAAAATCTCAGTGCCAGAGATGGGCAAAAGAAATTTTATTCAGCCTAGACTAACGATAAGTAACAGGCCTTTGAACCATGTGCGTGAGGAGCGGGCACATGAATGAGTTACAGTGCGATGACAAGGTTTTGCACAGTGGCTTTGTCCTGCAGTAAGTGTTACACAATCCAAGATAACAGACCCTTTCATGTAGAAGGGTGACCGAGATTTCACCTGGGGGTACGTTGTAAAGGAATTGCATCTATTTACTGGTTGAAAAATTGTGTTTCATCCAGTGCTTTTGTGCTTGGACTGTGGACTCTGCAGCAACCTAAGCTGTGGTGGAGCCAGTGCTGGAATCTGAACTTCCAGGGGAGAACCGAGGGTGGGGGTAGCATGTGTGGGATGTTGAGATTGTGCATGAGGAAAACGGGAATATTTTGAGGCTGGGGATTTCTGGAGAGGAGGGTAAACTGTGGTGAGACTGTGGGCGTGTACAGTAGGAAGTGGTGAGAGGTATGCTGGATGGAGGCAGGGGGCATGAAATACTGGGACTGTAGCGACAAGGGCTGGAGTGGGAAGGCAGGAATGTAAGAGGTGGGTGGGGGGAGACCTGTGCTGACCTCAGGATTCGGAATGGTGTGGTCAGGAAGAGTTCCCCATAGTGTAGCAGTATCTCCAGGTCTATGACCTTAGCAACAAAATAATACAAATACTGAACTTTGCTGTGCAGGCATAGGGCTCTGGGATTATTTGTCTCTGGTTCCTGGGGGCAGTCATGCTGCTGCACTGCCTGTGGCCAAGATTTAGGGAGATAGGTCCTCCTAATGCCTAAAATGCATGGTAATCCTCATGGAGAAAGAATTCTCTACAACAGTTGGTGAGGAGGGATCTGCCTAAGCCTGACTCCATTGTTTTTACATTAGAGACTAGGAGATGTTTGTTGCAATGGTTTTAAGACGAAATTTTTTCTGTCTTGATCGTCTAGGGGTGGGAAGAGAGAACTCAAACGTGCTCATAGAGGGGTGGTAGCTTATTCCCAACCATCCTCTGCAGTGGGCCATAAAATCCCTCAGGGAAAAGGCAGGGATCCTTCCCTGATGTGTGACCGATGTGTGTGATTACACTGGAAGACTTTACTGGGAGAAAAATGTATATATTTGGCAAAATTTGAAGCGACTGTGTTGCTCACACTTCGTTGCCACCAAAAGCTGGAATAGCCAAAATGAAGCCCAGCATTCTTGACTTGACCTGGATTTTTCTTTTTCCGTTCATAGCACTTGGGAACATGCTGTCCTAGGGCAGCAGGGTCTTCTGCTGATGGCTGGCCCCAGTTCGTGTGCCCATTTCTGTTCTCTTTTGGCATGAGTGATGACTGCCGGATGCTTTGATGGTAAAGCTGGTGATTTAGTTCCCCTTTCTGTCTGTATTGTGTGATTCATAAGTTGGGAACTCCAGCTTTACTTAATTAAACAAATTACATACGGTTAATAACACATTTGTGATTGGTTTTAACAGAGAAGTGTAGTTCAGCCTTTAAAACATAGCTCCATCTGCTTCTCAGTAACAATGTTAGACTCCAGTTGGCGTTTTGTCTATTTGCTTCCTCTAGGATTATTGTAAGATAGTTTTGGTGATGGTTTTTGGTCTCGGGATCAGACGTTTCTTACTGTCAGTACATTGTAAGAATTAATACAGAGAGTCTTGAATGAATGTGGTGCTGACTTATTCATTCTGTTTAGTTATCAGCACGTCAAGGAATGACTGTCTCCGGAACCCTCAGGTGAAACATCTGCTTTTTGAATGGTTTGAAAACTTTGATTTTTGAGGCTTTCATCTCTTTGGAACTTGCATTTTCAAAGCGCAGAAGAATTTGTTTTCAGAGTGTGTCAGATCTGAAAACACAAGAGAATCTGCCCCTTCTTCTCTTCAGAGTTAAAAACCTCAATTTCACCAGTTTCCTGGGTAACGGCAGACCAAACATAAGGACTTGGTTTTCTGTTTCAGCTGATGTATTCCATTGGTTTCTGCAGAGCAAAAGCATGCTGCTGGGAAGAGGAAAATAAGACCCTAAATCGTCAAGAGTTGAGATGCTCAGCTACAGTCATAGGAAAAAAGTTTTAGCCTTTGAAAAAACTGTGCCCTGAAAATCTTCCCATTTGTTTCTTTCACAAAAATTAGTTAATATTTCCTAACTTTATTCTGTCTATGTCAGCAAAGGAAAGCTTATCTTGCTTCTGTTAATAGATAAGCTTTATAACTCTCAGCCTGTAGATGAGGAGAACCACAGTACTAAGAAAGGATGTGTTACCCAAAAAGTCTGTGACAATACTGGGAACTAATGATTCCCACTCCTGTGTTGTAACCACGTGGCCAGTCTTCCCCAAACATTTTTATTTTTGATTTTGGGCTAAAACGTACAGAATTGGAACTCTTGGTGCTTTTTCAGTTTCCTTGTTTTACTTCCCAGGCATATACATAGAGCATATTTCAATTGCAACAATAGCATTAGCAGTTGCATAGGAGTGAACAAATGGAAAATATTTGCACAAAAGGTAGTTAACAAGGAAAACTCAGGCGTATCTCATTATTTTGAACTCAGTAAGATTATTCGCAGTTCCAGCAATAGAGATCTAGAGTTACTGTGTTGAATTCACTAGAGTTTGTTTGGATTTATATATGAGTAAATGTGAGCCGAA